TTTAGCAAGTTTAGTGGCATAATTTTTGTTGTGCTCATGGGTCATTTGGAGCCCTTAATGAAAGTGGAGTAGGGGTGTAGTCATCAAATCTATTTTGGCATTTAACTTGAATGATAAAGTGTATTTCTATATTTTAAAAGACAAGTCATATTTTGACAAAAGATCAAACCTCTAACCATCAACTCATAGTGAATATTGTGACACATTTATGAATTTATGTAATTGATGACAAGAGGAGAATTAAATTCAAAAGTTTTAATCAATCACAGTTAAACTAAGTATAATCAAAAGTATTTCATATATGTTCATGTTAATTATTTTTAAATACAAATTAACAACTGTTCAATAATACATTTCTTTTATACATTTTAAAAAAAATTTTATGTGGTCTAAATGAAGAAAAATTTCTGACTTCAACAACAAAATTCATCCCATGCTTTCAGTTAAGGTATCAATTGGTTATAAAATCCAAAAATACACGCATACTGAGAATAGAACAGCAGATGCATCTAAACCTCAAACACTTGTATCTCACATACCATGGATATGTTTCAGTAATTTGGAAGTCCAAACTTGAATATACTCTATAGACTATATATATCAATTGAAGATACAGTACTTGCTTTAATTTACGTAATTTTACAAACGCTTTTTGACATACATATTAAATTGTTAAATCAAGAAGATCTATACTATCAGAATCATCTGAATCTGAAGTAGAAATATCAGAGAGAACATATTCAAAATAAGGATGTTGATAATCTGAACAATTATTCGTACAATCACATTTTTTGTCACATACATCACAGCATAAGTGTTTAACACAGGGTGAAGGCTTACAATTATAAGCACTCAACAAACATTGTCGTCTACACTGATCTGTGTTATTGATGTAATTTTTCATATCACTATCTAAATTCTTACATTGTTTACCTTTGTACAAAAGTAAAGCCATGGAGGTCTTGCCATCACGCCCTGCTCTTCCAAACTCTTGGACAAATGAATCCATATCCTTTGGAGGACCATAATTTTTAACATATAAACACCTTTAAAATTTAAACCCATACCAGCTGCACAGGTAGCTACTAAAATTCTAATGTTTCCTTCAGCATTTTCTAAATCTAACCTGATCTCCTCTTTGATAGATTCTGGGGTCTTTGAATGATACATTTGTACACATTTTATTTCTTCATGTAGGTGGAGTCTTAATAATGACACAACTTGTCCACAGGCATTGATAGATGTGCAAAATATTATGAACCTTTCACACAATTCTTTCTTTTCCTTAAGCAATTTTATAACAAAATTAAATACTTCATCAAGTGGTGTGGAACTTTTTACCTTTTTAACAAACAGTTTAATATTTTCACGCTCTGGATTGTCTATAATTTCATGGCAATTTTTCATGCTGAATTTCTGTTGCAACTTCTTGCGCGCTGATCTGTTTGCTGTTGCTGTCAAAAGAAGAACAGGACATTCCAGTAACGACCGCAGCTCACCCAGCTTTCCATACCACTGCCTGAATGGTTCTTCACTTCCATCACTTTCTCCCCTAAAATATATGAGGTTGCAAATTGTTCATGTAATTGCCATTATATAAACATCAATATTAGTCTTAGGTCTTTTTAAAGGATAAAACATTTTTCTGTTAAAAATTTAAATATTTTTTTTTTATCTAATGGTGTCACTCTGACAAAAAAAAGTCACACCTTCTTAGGTAAACAACATGCTTGACCAAACTACACATAATTAGGTTAAAGTTCAATAATGAGTCAAGATATATATATAATTTTACAAAATTTTTTCCAATCTAATTTCAAGGAAATATTGAAAAAAATACCAAGGGCATTGTAACTGACTAACTCTCCCGTGAGATAAGAAAACAAGTTTATGGATAAAATTAATAGGCTTGTGTTTTAACTTTCTTGACTTACCAGTGTAGAACAGTATGAGCCTCGTCGATAACCAGAAGACGAACACGCTCTCCTGCAGGACCAAGAAGCATCGACCTCCACTCAGGATTCCCAACAACAGCTTCTGGCGATGAGAAAATAAAGTCGTAATCCCCTCGTTTAATACCGTCACCTTCTTCCACATCTCTGCCGATGTAAGTTGCCGAAAACCCAAGGCCAGTCAAGTAATCGGTCTGCTCTTTCATGATGCTTATCAGAGGGCATACCACGAGGACTGTGCATCGACTGTCTGGATTCTCCTTCATCCACATCGTATGGAAAGCCTGGTAACATATAGACTTCCCAGCACCCGTTTTCACGCTTACAAAAACGTCGGTCCCTTTCAATAAATTACTCAAAGCAGCCCTCTGGAATTTCTTTAACTCGGTCAGGTTGAACATGCTCTTTACGGTAGCCATCTTTAATGATGATGCGATTGGTGTTTATAACAAGCTCTCTGATTGGCCAACCATTCCGAGAGACCTTCATCGGAATCTCGTTTCAACCAATGAACGATACCGATTTTTCTCATGAATAATTCATAAGTACGAGCTTGATGCGACGAATGCTCCCACGGGTTAAATGCAGTGTAACGGAGAGAAAACCCGTGGGTTCCGACGATGAGAAAATACCATAAAGTTTATATTACTAATGGTCTGGTATTAAGTAGGCTTATTAAATCGCAAATGGAGTTACTGTATATTTACAGAATTGGCGTTCTTAATGGTTTAGACTATCAAATCTGTTGATAAATTCATGTGCATATACTTCAAAAGATCATAAAAGTTATACGCATTGCTGTATTTAGACATTGAATCTAACCCATGCATCCAAGGCCATAAAAAATTAATAGTTTCTCAGCTTGATTTCTTTAAAATTCAATGCGGCAGGCCGGTTCTTTTTCTTTTTTGAAGCAGGTGTTACCTTTTTTTCATGTCAATGTTCAACAAAACGATGATATCAAGTGATTCTTACTTATTTTGTTCTCTTATTATTTATAATATGCATTTTACTTTAAATAATGTTATTCCAAACAAATTAAACATGTTAAAGTTAATTCATAAAAAACTGTATTAACAAGAAATGTATTATCTAATAAAAACGTCTACTATTAGCATTTTATGAAAAGGGGAATAACTAAATATTCTTTATAAACTTGAAAAAAGTAGAAAATTAAGTTATTTCCTTTTTCAATATATCAAGAAAATTGATCAATGCGTCAGTGTTTGACTTGATACGGCGATGCCTGATAACTATTGATTAATTTTTTTTGTTGTTGTTTGGCCTAATTCATCATTGTTAAAAAAAATAGTGGGATTGCGAACGCCTTATACGACCCTGTTCATTTTAAGATTACCTATTAAATTGAAACAAAAAAGGGCTTATTTCATTGTATAATATTTATAAGTAATTTTAAAAACCCTGTACACACTCAGGTAGACAAGAGAGTGCCACACGAAGTCGTCACGGTGTTCGATATGATGTGGTAATGCAGCTCATCCAACCCTATCTGTACAGATATCACCATCTGGTCTGTGACAACTACTTCTCAAGCCCAGCTCTTTGTTCGGCTCTTTTTGAGGCTAACACTTACATGACGGGCACTGTAAGGGTGTACAGAAAGGGAATGCCCAAGTCGTTAAAGGGCTTGAAGCTACAACGAGGGGAGATTATTGTAAAACAAAGTGGGCCTATTATGGCACTATGTTACGGAGACCGAAGAACAGTAACATTTATGTCCACTCTGTCTAAGCCAAAGTAATTTTAATATTTCACCATATATAATTAAGATGATAAAATTTCGAGAAAGAAAATGAAAATTCAGAAAATTCTTTAATGTCATCACCCTCATCTTTATCAAGAAACATCTTCATCATCAATATTTTTTGTTGAAACAAAATCAAAAGATTTAGCAGGCACGTATTATCGACTGTGGGTGTGGGTGTGGTGTGCTACCCCCTTTTCCCCAAACATTTACTTTTTCTATATATAGATAATTGTTCATTGAAATGGTAGCGCGCCCCCCCCCCCCCAACACTTTTTGTAGTATAATGGTCTAGCTAATGGTTATTTATTAATGTATAAAGAAAATTTGGTTGTGAAACAATTTTTGCCCCACTTTCAAAAATGATACAACGTGCCTGTATAAGGGAGGTAAACATTTGCATTTGTGTTACAGTGTTATCACAACACAGAACGCCCGAGGAGTAGAAGTTCGCATGCCAGCCGTCAACTATGTGTACAACAAAAAGATGGGTGGTGTTGACCTGTCTGACAAAAGTTTAGAATTGTATGACCCAGTTATAAGGTCAAACAAAATGTGGAAACGAATACTCTTCAACCTTCTTCTGAGAGTTGTCTGTAGGTTTCTTACTAGATTAGGATTTTTAACCCCCCCCCCTTCCTTAAACTTAATATAAGCGTGAACTATGAAAGCAGAAAGTTTAGTTGCTAAACATATCTATTATAATTTTGATTATAAAGATAATCATTGTTTTTATTAAAAAAAAAAAAAACGGTATTGTCAATTTTCTTGCGCTTACAAGATAAGCACAAAAAATCGAGATAATCCAATCATTTTTTACATATGTATATTACACTGTTATTAAACGAAGCAAACTTTTTATAGCTAATGCCTACATCATATACAGACAAAATAGAGGTTTGCGCACTAAAATGGACAGGATGGACTTTCATATGGGTGTTTGCTTGGGCCTGATCGGAAAATTCGGAAATTAAATAAATATGATTAAAAGTGAGTCAAAAGTATATATAAAGAATTTTTAAGTATTTTTAATTTGACAAATGAATAGCTTTTCACATACGCTTGCCTATGCAAGACGCGCACTTAGCACTGAGCTGGAATAAAATTCCGCGAAAGAATGTAAAAGAAATTGTGACGTCGTTTTAATCTCGCAGTGACGTTACATTTTCTTTACGTTGACGTCGCAGCCAGAGGGTTAATGCGCTGTTAACTAAAACTAGGCAGTTTCGGGAATTCACAAGGCCAAATAAAACCATAGGTGAATCTCTATTCTCAAACATACACATGCACACAAGTAAACACACATACTTAAAGAAAACAAGCAAGGGCAACCGTGTCACATATTCACTATCCATGCTGCCTTGCAGTATGTTTAGCAAGATGTAATTTACCGATTTTAAAATGCTCACTTAAGAAGAAATGACTAATAAAATGCAATTAATTTTTGACGATACTCAATTTTACCGATCTCAACACTCTGGTTTTACGGTTGTTATCCTTTTACTTGCAACAATTTCTTTCAAAATTATGTCATTAATTAAAAATATTATTGTTTAGGAGTAAAGAAAGTATTGCAGTTAGCTTAGATGGTGCTTGGGTACCGGGAGAGTTTGGAATAGTCATTCAGGTAAGTGTACCAAATATCTAAATCCATACACTGTAGTGACTAATTGTCACTTCAGTGGCGTAGCATCAATTTTGAAAGTGGGGGCCAGCCAGAGAAATTTTTTTTTTACTTACCTGAAAAAGTTCACAAGCAAAAAAAAAAAGGGGGAAAAGTTGCCTAAAGTCGAAAATTCTATTGTGTTGGGGGGGGGGGGGGTAGTAGTTAAACTTTTTATCAGTGTCAACTACTTTCAGTACCAATTCTAATACTACATTTTCAGTACATCAATAAAAGTGGGGGGGGGGGGGGCAACCAAGCTTTCAATTACCATTTTCTATAGTATAAGTAAGGTTGGGAAAAAAGTGGGGGGGGGGGGTCAGCCCCCCCCCCCTGTTGCTACGCCCATGCACTTGGATTATTGAAAGAGAGTATTTCATGTATTCAGTGTCTTATTACTACAATCACATTTGGTAACTCTTTTCTTCCATTTATTCATTCATATGTCATTTCATTATTCAATTGTGAATACATTTGACTGATAGTCGATTATTTATGGACACCCATATTTGACGGCCTCCAGTTTTGATGGATAGATTTTATCCTTCGTAATTGAAGGATAGCGGTTGCGCCACCTATCGGAGATTTCAAAACAAAGGGCAGTGCACTTTGGTTAATACAAAGAAGGATGACTCTTACTTTACTGACTATAGCTTTTGGAGGGTCGTCTTCACTCCATGATACGTCGACGGAACAACTTAGTAACCTGGAACATCAACCAGAGGTGCGAATCTGCTGGAATACACTACTCTGAATATGGAAAGCGACAACTATACAGACTGGACCAAAAGTTCCTCTACAATCAAGCCTATCATAGAAAAGTGAGTAAAGAGTAAAAGGAACAGACTACTGGCCAGGAAAATGGCACAGCATCACTACTACTATGAAGATCAAAGAGGAACTTCGGGCTACTGCAAAGGTCAACTAGACTATAACTCATCTGCTGCACGTGATCACCCATATCACAAGAATGGAAGATTACGGTGAACGGTGTTGCCGTAGTTACTAAAAATAGAAATTTCTGTGAAAACATTCAAATGCTACTCCTACAGTTTTGGTTTGATTTCAATATAAATTGGCACACAAGGAGACTACACTACGATACATGATTCTTTGTATCGGTTTTTGATTTCAATGAAAGATGTTGCCTTGGTTACTTAAAATAGAAATTTCTGTAAAATACTCTCAAAATAATACTCCAAATACAGTTCTAGTCTGATTATAATAGAATGTGGCATACAAGTAGACTATACTAAGAACATTAAGAGACATAATTAAGGATCATTATTCTATTTATTTCTGTTGCAAAGTTTCAATTCCCAACTGCTTACTTACTTTTCTCTTCCTTTGCTATAAGTACAAACCAGTAGAGCTTCAATCTCGACAAAGACTTCTGGTATTAGCAACTACTCATCGCAGGTTCTTGAAATTTTAATACAATCTTCCCTGAAGCATGCCATATGGTGGTTTCATTTTTGTTCAAATCTAATGTCAACTTCCTGTTTGTCAGTGCATCTGTTCGTTTCATTAACAAATTTGCGTCGCAGTTTTCCCTACAACTACTCACTACAGATGCTTGAAATTTAAGTACATACTTTGTTGAGGAATACAGTATGGTGGTTTTATTTTTATATGTATCTGATGTCATATTCTTATTTATCCGTGCATATACCCGTAACGTTTATTAACACGATTTTCTAATTTTAAATCAGGGCAGGGGTATTAATAGTGAGCATCGGCTCACAGATTTGTTTTTTTTATGGTTTGTCAATTACCTTGATTTCGGTGTATTGAGAGCTTCTAAAGTACATTCAGTTGCCTGATGCTAATAGGCCAGAATAGCTTTTTTCTTATTGAAGTATTAGTAAGAGTTACTTAAAGGAGACAGGACATCAACCATGAAGAGAGGAAAGGAAAGTGTATCCCTTGATTACAACAAATAAAGGAATCCTTTGGCCTTTGATTTAGAAAATGCGACTAACTTTTTTGCAAAGTCATCCCACTTCATGATCAGATTTTTCTCTACTATGGTTTGAAAGCCTCCAACAAAATCTTCTGCATTGGCTTTTTCTGGCACAAATACCTGAAAAGTCAACAATCACATTTCCTGATGTAAAATACCTTATAAACCACTTTTTCTTGCCCTTTAATACTGGATTCAATTGATCCACACATTTAAAGATGTAAAGCCACGAACCATCATATTTGGCCCTATGTTTTTCACAAAAATAGAGTTTCTGTTCATGGCGGGTATTATACGTTAATTTTCTTACGTAACTCATTTTGTCAAATAATGCGCTCTTAGGCACGTGCGATGGTCTGAAGATGCGACAGTTTCATAAAAACGTTCAAAACTGCCGGTTTTTTCGACAGGATTTCCCAAAATTAAATGTGGCCACAGTCAAGAACAACTTTCATACTTACCACATATATAGATTTTGCTGATACAAATCTGCACGCTTAATAAAATCGTTGTTCGTACGTGTGGCCAATATGAAAAATTACTTTATATTTTAATTTTTATGTCTCAAAGATTCGCAAGTTTTGTTAATAATTCGGTAATATTTGGTTTATATAACTACAATTCTATAAAAATTACACACAATATGTTAAAAAAATAGTCAGTAGTTCGTTTGAAATGGATATTTGTGGAGAGGCATGATCTGCAACTTATATGATCTGAATTCAAACCTAAAAAAATCTTAAATCACTTGATTTAACATTTCTCTTCAAGCATGACGTTAAAAGTAATACATAAACGTCAGTTGTGACGTCATAAAGACTGTAATTAATTTAGTTTGATTGAATTTTTTTTTCAAGATGAATTACTTAAACTTTACTTGATGATACCATTAAATTATAAACAGAGCTCTATTTCAATCATCAATTATATCCAATTTCAACATCTGCAATAGCTTGTTTCTTTCTAAAGCTATAAATTTATATACTATTTTTGTTTAAATTTTCTAAAATACATGTAATAGGATACTATTGTTATTTTAAAGACAAATCTTAATACTGCTTTACATGAATACTAGATTACTACATGTAGCTTGTAAATATTCAAGTGAAACAGACTCGGATCTTAAAAACAAGAGGCCCATGGGCCAAATCGCTCACTTGAGCACTGTGGCTAGGAAAAAGTAGATATTGGTTTATTATTGAAAAGTTGAAATCCAAAAGTAAACCTTTAAACTGTTATGGTTTTGTTAACCTTGAGAAGAAGATTTTTAAAGAATTTTCCCTTATATTTCTATGTAAAACTTCGGCCATTGTGGCCCCGCCCTATCCCCGGGGTCATGATTTGAACAAACTTGAATTTATACTACCTGAGAATGCTTCCCCATAAGTTTCATCTTTCCTGGCACAGTGGTTCTTGAGAAGAAGATTTTTAAAACATACCACCAAATTTTCATTAATTCCCAATTATCTCCCCTTGAATGAGGGCGTGGCCCTTCATTTACTTTTGCAGTTACTCTCTGGAACTCTGTTTCTGAAATTGCCTGTACAAATTGTTTACAAGATTCTCCGTACCTAAAGGTAGGCCCTAACTCAGGTTCCTTCATTTCATCCAAATCGTTCAACCATAGATATAGGCCTATTTTTTCTTAACGGGTGCTTGACATGTCCTAAACATTCTTGATAACTTATCTGTATTACTTTTGTTTAGTGAACTTAAAAGCTTAACTGCATCTGATTTCTGTACTAGGTTTTGTAATTGATCTTCAATTTTTTTAAAATCTTATATGCATCTTTGTTTCTTCGTGTTTTACAAGTGCATCTAAATTATAAGACATGCAGCCCTTGATTAAATAAAATTTTTCATTAGGGTCATGTTTACAGCATTACAGCACCATTTGAGAAAGTTCTGGTTCTTTTCTTAGCATATTCTAAAAAGTATACTTTTCTCCGTCTTGCGTTTTTCCGCGGGATTTGCCGCCCTTGTATGAATTTCCACGTGTTCCGATTGCCCTTGAATAACAGTGATACAGATTGGGAATTGATCGGAATATTTTGAATGTTTGTTTAATCGCAAACAGTGAAAACGAAAGTATTTTATAAAATTGAAACCAAAGTCGGCTGAGTTCCGGATATCTGCCGATTTAGGTTTTACTTGCCATGTGGGCGAATAGATCTTTAAGATATAGTCGCTCAAAGCAAAAATTACCCGCATTTGCGAGTGGGCAAGTGGTTATTTGCAACCCTGAATTCACATCAGAATGAAATTTGACACACCAATTGTCACGCATAGGCCTACGTTCTATACATAACATGTGAAAAGTAATGATTTTCTCCAACATTGTGACGTCA